AGCCTCAGCCTCCCCACTCTCCCATCCCTTCCAGCCTCAGCCTCCCCACTCTCCCATCCCCTCTAGCCTCAGCCTCCCATCCCCTCCAGCCTCAGACTCTCCACTCTCCCGTCCCCTCCATCCCCTACCTGCTCATTCTTCCGTCCCCTCCATCCCCCACCTACTCACTCTCCCGTGCCCTCCAGCCTCAGCCTCCCCACTCTCCTGTGCCCTCTGTCCCCCACCTGCTCACTGTCCCGCACCCTCCAGCCTCAGCCTCCATCCTCTCCCATGCCCTCCAGCCTTTGCTCGGCACCGGTTTGCTCCGTGTATTGGCAACACCCGCATCACCAGGTGCCATCCTCTCTGGCTGCAGGTTGGCAGTCACCTCAGCCACGTGAGCGTCAGGTGTAGCCGTGTTCCACGGCTTCCCTGTCGGTGTCTCAGGAGTTAGCGCTTCCTGGGATCCGAGAAGGAAGGCAACGTGGACCTGTTCCTACTCCTGAGTCCTTGTCCAAGCTCCAGGCCTTGGATCCGGGTCGTCAACCTAGGAGCGTCCCCTCCCCACGTCCCTCCCACCACCCCCCTGGGGACCACTGCCTGCCCACCCTGGGGCCCTCTGGATTTGGTCCCCGATAGACTTCCCGAGGGACCTCAGTGTCTAGGAGTCTCAGGGCTCTCTCTGCGCTGCCAGGAGCTGGGCATGGAGCTTCCGAAGCGTGCCGCTCAGGCTGCTGTGGTGCTTCTCCCACCCTGCCGTCGCCGAGATGGAGTACCGTGGCGTTTTCCTGCGCCCAGGCACAAACCAGTCACCTGGCAGAGTGCCACGTGGCTTCGCAGACCAGGGGATGCTTCAGGGGCAAAGGGGGCTCTGTGTGTCGGGAGCGGGTCACATCACGGCAGAGCTGTCATGGCCTTTGCTGCGTGCTGCAGTGCCTGAAAGAGAAACTCGCTTTATCCAAGGCCTGAGAAGCCCGCGTTCACGGCACAAGTACGTCCACAGCAGTCGCAGTGTTACGGGAGGCGTGGGAAAAAATGACGCAACATTTCCTGTGACTCTTCCAAGTTCGGGGGTGGCCCGGCGGCCTCGCTCTGCGTGAGGACACATGGCTCTCCGAAGGGGATTTGTGTTCACCTTCCAGCATTTCAGAAACCATGACCCGCTTTGGGTCACCCCAGCCCCCGTCCCGAGGGCGTTTTATCCCCTTTTGTGTCTTTCCTAGAGAAAGCAGAGGCCCGGAGCCAAGTTCTTTTCCTGGTTCCCGCCTTTCCTGTGAGATGTCTAGGGTTGTAGGAATAAAACGAGGCTTTGGAGGTAATCTGTAGGTTTTATTTTTTTCCTGACTGTAACATGTTAACTGGTCCATTAAAATCTTTAAAAAGGTTTCCACACCGCTATCCCGGTTGTTGGTTTTTTAATAATGGCATAATTTTAAAAAGAATCTAGTCTTCCCCATATTGTGATTAAACTCCTCGTTTTTCTCATTTTGTAGGAGAAATTTATCTGTTTTGCAAAGGAGCAGATTCTTCGATATTCCCCCGAGTGATAGAAGGCAAAGTTGACCAGATCCGAGCCAGAGTGGAGCGGAATGCAGTGGTGAGAGCCGGGCTGGGGAGGGCCTCGTGGCGATCAGCGCCCCTGTTGTCAGGAAGGAATTCCATGTGCCACAGGTTCCTGGCTGGGAATGGTGTATTGTATCCCCTGGGGAATGTTCAGAAATAAGGGGGGCCAGATGCAGACAGACAGGCAACTTCAGCGGACATCTACCCCAAGGGGTCTCCAATGCCCAGCCAGGCGCAGGCCATCTCCTCCCCAGCCTTGCACAGGGTTTTATTTCGGGGTGGGTGCGAGGTTGGTTGGTTGATGTTTTGGGGAGTCAGAATTAGCACGTTTGTGGTCCTTGTGTTGGAGCAAAAAGGTCTTTGTCTTGACGTTTCTAGTGATTTGCTTCAAAACAAGTCAGTGCTTTCGTTTTCCGTTGTGACATCACCTGTTCAGGTTTCTCTCCCCATCTGGGTCTTAAGCCTGTACGATAAGGTTTCTTTGCACCACTTCTTGTGTAGCATTGCCCAGCGGCCCGCACACCTGAGCTTGCCACTCTGCAGGTCTGGCTTTCTCTCTTTGGGGCTGCTGCAGTAGGGGGATGGCCTGAGTGTCTCTCACAGCAGGGCCTCCTCTCCCCGTCAGACATGTGGCTGGGGTGGACGCACTCCCTCCCATCAGACGCCCTAACACTGGGCGACGCGTGGCTGGGTGGACGCACTCCCTCCCGTCAGACATCCTAACACTGGGCGACGTGTGGCTGGGTGGACGCGCTCCCTCCCGTCAGACATCCTAACACTGGGCGACGTGTGGCTGGGTGGACGCGCTCCCTCCCGTCAGACGCCCTAACACTGGGCAACGCGTGGCTAGGTGACGCGTGGCTGGGTGACGCGTGGCTGGGGTGGATGCACTCCCTCCCGTCAGACGCCCTAACACTGGGCGACGCGTGGCTAGGTGACGCGTGGCTGGGTGACACGTGGCTGGGTGGATGCGCTCCCTCTGCTCTCCTTGTGGCTGCTTTGTGCCACGGCGTCTGCACCCTACTCCCGATGCCACCCTGGGGGCTTCTCCCGCACTCCAGCCCAAGGCAGCCCCTCGTCTCACACTGTCTTCATCTTTTCATGAGAAGGAAACAGTGACTGACAGGCTCTCCTCCCAGAGGTCCAAAATGACGCTGGCCGGAATGGCTACGCACTGGGAACAAGACTTCCGAGGCTGGCTCAGCACCAAGGAAGGCTGAGCCAAGAGAACCTCGGACTAGAGGCCATAGTGCTCAGCGCTGCCTTCACTTACCATTTATGAATAAAGCAGCCTTTGTCCTCACTGTCAGTCTCAACACTTGATTACTGCAGATGTCAGAGCGTTAAGAATTCCTGCTGATGGACAGGAGCCCTTTCACGTGTGAGCCTGTGCTTGCAGCAGCCAGAGCGGCTCTGAACTTTGTGGAATGCTGTCAATGTGCGATCATTCACCTTTAAGTTGCTGTTAAAACAACAACTAGCACTACAAAGTAGCTGCCTTGGAACCAACAGGAATCCATAAATCAGCAGCAGGTTTAGGATTGTTGAACTTCTCCGAGCGGGATCTGCAAAATAATAGCACTGACTTCCTCCAGCCACAGAGTTGCGGCATGAAAGCCGAGCAGGTTCCTCTGAGTAGCACAAGCGTCCTTCACATGGATTATGTGAATTGTGATGATTTTAAAGTCCATTTGCTGCTTGTTTCAAAAAGCCTTCTTGAGATGTAATTGCCATACCTTCATCTATACACATTTAAAATGCGACAGCAGCAAGGGCGTTGACACACGAATGCACACGTGGAAGCGTTGCCTGTTGGGACGGGGACGCTTCCCTCACCCCAGAGACTGTCTTGCGCCCTCATATTCCCATCCCTGCCAACTCCCACTCACTGCAGACCACCGCTCCACTCGCCATCACTACAGACTCATGCCCACCTTCTGGAGCTTCCTATGGGCAGAATCACAAAAGGTGGCTGTTTCATCCAGCGTCTTTCACTCCCATAACTGCTGAGACTCGGCCATGTGGGCCTGTTCCTTTCTGTTGTGATGAACAGCAGCACTCATTTGGTTGCCAAGTGCTAGCGGTACTAGTCCAGTTGCTGGGCACTAGCGGTACTAACCAGTCCAGTTGCCGGGCACTAGTGATACCAGTCCAGTTGCTGGGCACTGGCACTACTACTCCAGTTACTGGGCACTAGCAGTACTAACCAGTCCAGTTGCTGGGCACTAGCAGTACTAACCAGTTTAGTTACAAGGTGCTAGCAGTACTAACCAGTCCAGTTACCAGCACTAGCGATACTAACCAGTCCAGTTACCAGGCACTAGCGGTACTAACCAGTCCAGTTGCCGGCACTAGTGGTACTAACCAGTCCAGTTGCTGGCACTAGCAGTACTAACCAGTCCAGTTACCAGGCACTAGTGGTACTATTCAGTCCAGTTGCCAGGACTAGTGGCACTAAGCAGTTGCCGGCACTAGCGGTACTAACCAGTCCAGTTGCCGGCACTAGCGGTACTAACCAGTCCAGTTGCCGGCACTAGCGGTACTAACCAGTCCAGTTGCCGGCACTAGCGGTACTAGTTCATTTGCCGAGCACTTGCAGTACTGGTTTTTTCTACGGATGGGCCAGTTTCTTGATTCTTCCGCCTGTTGGCGGACATGGATTGTTTCCAGTTGGGGCTGTTGCGGAAGCAGCTGCTGGAGGTCGCCTGCTCTGCGTGTCTGGGGCTGGGCCGATGTGACCTTTTCTCCTGCTGTCACAGCGTCTGCATTTCTCTGTCCACAGCTTCCCTTTTATGGCTGCTTTTGAGGTGTTTCGTGATGGGATGCCTTTGTGGAGTAATGTGTTTCTTTGCTCAGCAGCCTTGAGCATCTTGAATCTGTGGAGTTTCATCAAGTTTAAACTTTTTCAGCAATTATTCTACAGATATTTTTCTTCCCCACTCCGTTTCAGCAGTTCCAGTGACCCATGTACTGGACTCCCGAACGTTGTCTCATGGCTTACGAAGGCTTTTCCCTTTAAGTTTTTCCACGGGTCGTTAGAGACAGTTTCTGTTGCCACGTCACAAATCTTTTCCATGCAGCGTCTAACCTGTCAGCACCCCACGCAGGACACCCCTCCCCTCAGACGTCGGAGTTTTCATGTCTAGAAATTCCGCCAGCATGTTTTGTATCCTCATTCCCCTGCTTAACATGGGGCGTGTGTAATCCAGTGGCGGTGACTGTTTAAATCCTCCTCGCTAACGGCACCCCTGCTGCCAGCTGTGGGCCAGCCACAGCGGTTGCACAGTCCCCTTGTTTGGGGCAGGGACGGTGCCCCTGCATGCTAGTGGCCTGTGAGCTTTGTTGGATTCTGGGTATCATGGTCCTCCTGGAGATCTTAAATCTTGTTCTGGGGTGCAGCTGAGTTCCTGGGAAGCCCTTTCTGTTCCTTTCAGGCCACGCCTTCATGATGTTCAGCAGACCCACAGCAGTGCCTGCCCCGGGTGGTGCTCCCCAGCCTGCCAGGCCCCGAGTGCTGTGCCTGGCGAGTGGCCGTGCCTCTTCGCAGCAGGCTGTCCCACCCTCTTCCTGATGGCTTGTTCCTGGCTTCCAGGAGCTTCCTCACAACTGCAGGTGCCAGAGGGGGCCATCCACAGCCTCTGGCATCCACTCATCCTGGGAATTCTGATGTTTGTTCCCTTGACACCCAGGTCTGCCCCGTAACTCAGAGAATTCACCGGCTCCGGCTTCGTTCCCCTGCCCAAGCCTTGGCCTGGAAGCTCTCCGGGTAGTGAGCTGGGTCTGGGTAGTGAGCTGGGCACTTGTAGGGCCCCCTCGGTTGGCAGCATTTTATTTTGAAATAATTACAGATTTAGGAGAAGTGACAATAAGTAAAGAGACAGTCCAGAGGGTCCTGTGTGTCCTTCGAGTCCAGTTGATTTCTCCTTTCAGTGGTTGTGCTTGCTGTCAGTGCACGTCGAGGAAACCACTGTGAAATCCAGGATGGTGAAGATTAGCCACTGCTGTGTGTTTTTCTATAAGTTTTCTAGTTTTAGCTCTTAAATTTAGGAGTGTAGTCCTTGTTTGGCTAATTTTTGCATCTTTCATAAAGGGAGGGTCCTACTTGATGCCCCTGTGTATGGTTATCCAGTTTTCCTGGCACCATTTGGTGAAGACTCTCCTCTCCCACTGAGTGATCCTGACACCCTTGCTGAAAAGCATTTGACTACTTACCTGGAGGTTTATTTCTGGGCTCTCTGTTCCATCCCATTCTCTCTACGTCTGTCTTTATCCCAATTCCCGCTGTTTTGATTACTGTCAGTTTCTAGCAGGCTTTGAAACCAGGATGTGTGAGTCTTTCAAATTTGTTCTTTTGTAAAATGGTTTGGCTATTCTGAGATTTAATAGGAATTTTAGGATGGGCTTTTTCATTTGTGCAGAAAATGCCACGGGGGGCCAGGTACGGCAGCTCATACTTGTAATTCCAGCATTTTGGGAGGCTGAGGCAGAAGGATCACTTGAGGCCAGAAGTTTGAGACCAGCCTGGGAAACATAGCAAGACCCTGTCTCTACAAAACATACACAAGGAAAATCAGCCGGGGTGGTGGCACACACCTGTGGTCCTAGCCACCAGGCAGGATGAGGTAGAAGGATTGCTTGAGCACAGAAGTTTAAAGCAGCGGTGAGCCACGATGGCACCACTGCATGTTACCATGGGTAACTGAGTAAGACCCTGTCTCAAAAAAAAGAAACGGACGGAGGGCGGGAGGGAGGAGCCATTGGGATGCTGATAGGGATTTCGTTTAATCAGTAGATCACTTTGGGTAGCGTTGTCATCTTAACAATGTTAAGTCTTCCAATCCATGAACATGGGATATCTTTCCATTTATTTAGGTATTATATAATTTATTTCAGCAAACTTTGGTGTTTTTCAGCCTCGAGTCTTTCACCTCTTTGGTTAAATTTATTCCTAAGTATTTTACTCTTGTTGATGTGATTATAAGTGAATTTTTTTTTAATTTCCTTTTCAGATTTTTCATTGGTAGTGTATAGAAATGCCACTAGTTTTCATGTGTTGACTTTGTACCATGTGTCTTTGCTGAATTCCGTTAGTGGGGGGGGCACATTCTTCATGGTCTTCTAGATATAGGATCGTGTCGTCTGCAAATAGGCCTTAGAAGGACATTCTTTCTAATGTGGAAACTTCCTTTTTCTCTTCATAGCCTGATCCTCTCACTAGAGCGTCTAATACTCTGTTGAATAGAAGTGGCAAAAGCGGGCATCCCTGTCTTGTTCCTGATCCTGGAAAAGCTTTCAGTCCTTCACCGTGGAGGGTGATGTGAGCTGTAGGTTTTTCTTTCTTCTTTTTTTTTTTTTTTTTTT